TGAAAGGAATAAACTGCAACCTCTAAAGCATTAGCGAAAGAGCAGCAGTCCTACCCTCCTCGCTGTGACGGGAAATTCAGCCAGCAGTGTGAAGTAACACAGGAAGGCACAGGCGTCCCAGTGCCAACGCTCGGTGCTACAAACCCCTGGGTTACTCTGGCCCTAAAATGAGTTCAGCCCTGCCTGGTGGGCAGAGGCACTGCCATGTACATCACCTTCAGAGCCCCTCTCACCTGTGACCCCAGAGAGCTGTGCCCGCAGGCTGGGACCGTGCAAAGGTAGACAGGCAGCTGTGCGGCAAACCAAGCACCTGGGGGAAAGAGGGAATAGCAGAGAAGAAAAGGAAGAGACCGACATGCTTTGTGCTTTGCGTGTGTGGGTACGTGTAGAAAAAAGTAATGTGTGGTGGTGAAGGAAACACCTGCATGTTTCTGTGGCTGATGAAGGGGCTACCAGAAAGACAAGAATATGACAGCTTTTGAAGTGGAGCTGGGGTGTGTATGGATGATGCGATAGGTCAAGCAGAGCAGTGGGGCAATTCTCCCCACAGGGGTGAATATCCCCAAGCCACAAAGGTAGAGTCATTGCTAAATTAAGTATGTCTGAGCCACTTGTTCTTCTCTTACATGTTTGCACTTGTGCAGGAAGAGCAACAGCAGACAAGCAGCCCTCGGCATAGGAGGAATTGTAGCAAGACTCTAGAAACCTTGGGAAAAAAAAAAAACTCACAGGTGTAGACTTAGAGCCACCTAAGCCTTAGGCAAACAAGGACAGACTAGGAAATTAGAGACAGCACTCATCCTGCACCTATTTTTACAGCCCAAAGAGAGTAAATACTATTCTCCAAGGGAAAAGCACAGTGTGTTTTGGAGCCTGTTTGCATGGGACTAGCCTCAATACCCAGCCATTCTCCCTTGCATATTCAATGAAGAAAGAGAAGAGCAAAAGTCACAGCAGCAGTGACTCAGAGTGCAGGACTTGCACCACCCCCCCACCCCCCCCATTCACCCCCTAGACGTGCCTCTTCCTGCATCAGCTACTGCGGTAGGAGGGGGTGGGGGGTGAGCTTGGCCTCCCGGCTGGAACATCTCAGGGTAGGACTGAGGAGATAGCCCTTCTACTTCCCCACGTGGAGTTGGGACAACACCCACCTCTTAATTCCAGCACTTGCATCTCAGCACTTAACAGAGCTAACGCGATAGCTGGGTGGATGGGTAGAGACCTGGCTAGGAGCTGTATATCACCTCAAAGTCTATAGCTAGCCAAAAGCATCCATTTGCAGCTTCCTTGTATTACATCTGCTAGCCAGCTGTGATGGTAGGGCATAATTCCCCCCCCCTCCCCCAGTACAGCCCTGCCAGCACACACAATTACACTAACACAACTTTCTTTTATTGAGATTATTGGGGATTGTATGAGGTGAACCAGTGCTGGTGGCTTCATACCACCATGAGTACGAATCAGAGCTCTGCTGGTATAATAACTCCTTTTAAATCAGAAGTGCTTTGTCCATCTAGCACAGTTTACTGTTATTTCTACATCTGTAAATCACTCTTGACATAAAACCTAATGATCTGCATCCCCCTTTTTCATGAACCCCTGCCAAACAAGAGCACAATGCTGCAGCTGTAGCTATTAAGCTGTGGTGGCAGCAAAGCACTCCATTAATACCTCATGCTCAGCAGTTTGTGATGCACGAGAGCTGAATAATTATGCCTTTGTTACCCTCAAATGAGAGGCACAATTGCCAGAAACAAGAATTTACAATTAAAAAACTGTATCAAGTCAAGGACAACATTTGTTCATTCATAAAACAAGCCTTTCTGAGCAAGAGGACTATGAGACAGAAAACAGGCTTACGTTAACGAGATGGTTGTTTCTGAAGCTGTATTGTACCCCCCTCAGACAGACCTCCATAGCCACTTTGTCCCAGCCGTTTTGAGAAACGAGCTGGCAGAGCTTTAGCCAAAGCTCTTGTTGCTATGATCTGCACTGGTAGGGGAAGTTTAGTTTTGATTTGAGGGACAGGGATGGGAAGCAGGGCTTTAACAATGTATCAATAACCACTGATCTGCAGCCTTTGAAACAGAGCAGACAGGCATAGAAGAGTGAAAATGGGTGTTGTGTTAACAATAAAAATAGAAGTGGTGAGAGTCTGTCCTCCTTTCTGAGGATGCCTAATTGCTCACACCAGGGTAGCAGCTCCACATCTTTGGTTAGTGGTGTGCAGAGACCACAGAACAATTAAGTAACTGTTCCTGCTTTACCTAAGCTCAACATGAACAGGGATTTCAGAATCATATCTGCCCTGATATTTTTGGAAAAGTGACAGCTGGTGCAAAGGAAGTAGTTAAAAGGAGGGCTGTAGTGCAGACAGAGTTGCATTATTTTGAGCAACATTCCACCATTCTCTGAGCAAGGGTAGGACATATGGTAATAAAAAATTTGTTATGCTTTTTTTCTTACAATAGCATGCTTTCAGTAAGTGCAAGTGAAGACTAAAAAGAGAGTTCTGAAGTACACCCCAAAATTAGCACTGCAGAATAGTACATGCTTTCATGCAGCACATCTAGCAACAGATACCTGACTGGGTATTTGCTGTCCTCATCTGGCCCATGAGTCATGCTACAGAAGAATGTGCTTATGCTGTCACCTCCTTGTGAAGCCCTGACTCTCACCTCAGGACTTGCCAACTTCAAAACGGCCAAGACTGTTTTATTTTCCCAGTCCTGTTCTAATATTTAGCCAAGAGATAATAGGTCATAAGAAACAAACTGAATGAGTGATCAGGATAGGCAGGCTGGTCAAAGCAAGTGTCTCTGGGGTGCCTGGAGAGGACTGGAATTGCAAGAGGCCCCGTCTGGCATGCTTTACAGCTATGTGTGCCTACATTTCTGTCTGTGGACCCTGATTTTTTTTCCAGCGTGCATAATTTGCATTTTTGGATAATAAGCTTCTCTCATTTAACTTCTCGAGAGACCAGGAAATGCTCAGATACTCCCCATTCCTTTGTTCTCCCACCCATGATCCACAGACCTTTCATTGAAAACCACAGCATAGTACAGACCACAAAAATCTTCAAAGGCACTGTACAGTGTTATAGGTGCAGATGTAGACATGCAGCTGAAGCTTGACTTTGTAATAAAAAGGAATTTCTAAAAACATCTCTTGACAGGTAACAAAACAAAAGGAATATAAGTAAAACCCTTTCAAACCGCTTAGCTAAAGGATCTCCTTGAGAAAACATTGATCTGATTGTATTATCAAAAAACCTTCAGGCTACATTTTGACAAATAACCAAATGGTTGGAAACAGTATCACTAAAACGCACTGTTCAATTTATAGCCACACTGACAAAAGAAGAGGGCAAGGGGGCTTCAACTCCACTGAAAATACAGGTGGAAAGAGGGCGAAGTCCTCCAGACCAAATAATTTCAATCACAGGATCGCCTTTGCCCTCTTGTGGGCAAACTTTTCTCTTGCAGCTTCTCAGCAGATCCTGTGCAGACAACCGCACCGTGCAGACGCCGCGAACAGGATGCAAAAGCATTGCTGGCCTTCCTTGTGCTCCCTTTAGCAGGCAAAGAATAGCTATTCTGAATGCAAAGAGAAATCAAACCCCAAACCCAGCCAAGTAGTTAACCTTGCTTAGTTCCTGCACGACAGCACGAAGGAGGCTGTGTGATAAAGCAGGTGGCCGGTCGTGCTCCTTGCTATAAGGAGAAAGCCCACCTGAAAGCAAGGAAACACCTACGTGCCTTGAACAACGGACATGCAGGCAGCAGTGACCAGGAAAGCCACAGACTACCAGCCTATAGTCTGCCCTGCTGCGCTATTCTCACACTTTACAGTAAACTAACTTGGATTATGCTCCTGAGAAAGGAGCCGTCATGATTCTAGCAATAACATGACTTAAACTGTGTGGTCATGCTCCAAATTATTAAATCTTTATTCATCTTTCTTAGGACTTCTGAATTTTCTCATGCTGTGTAAATCCACCACTGACGTACCCTTTTAATACAACATTTTGCCTCAATTGTTTTCTTGCATCTAGTTTTCAAATGTAATTAAAAGCATTAAAGACCTTTTTCCCTTATGAATCCTTATGGTTACACTCATCTCTGGCAACTTCATCAAAGAGACAATTTCACTTTTAACGTTATGATATAAAGAAAAATATACCGTGGCTTTCCAATTTCAGTGCTGGCAATGAAGAAAGTGCCATTCTCCTCCTGTTTACAAGATGACCACAAGGTAATAAGCAATCTGTAGGATTATGAAACAAAAAAGCTACCCTGCCAGAAAGCATGCAGGTTTATTTCCTTTTCCTCACCCCCTACCACTGACAATCAGACAAACATTTTTAAAGGATCCGGTGGCTCCCCCTCAACCAAGTAACTGTCACCTGCATTTTTCTACACCAGAAGAAACTCTTTGCTCTTAACACTTTTTGCTAGTTTGTGCTCCTTCCTTCAACAAAGTCTGCCACTATTTTTTTCTAGCTCCAAGTAATCAAGACAGTAGGAAAGCAGCACTTGAATTATGCTTGTCGCAGTAACCTACAGACCACAGTAGGTGTAAAGGCTATTGCAGACTAATTTGGTGGGACCCTATGGTAAGAGGCAATACTGACCTTATCGGACCTTCCCCCTGGAAACCTGCAGTGACAATATCCAGCTTTGCAAGCTGGACCCTCTTCCCCAGTAACATGCAAACACAATGCAAGCTCTTTCCTCCAAACTAGGAACAAAGAATGATGTTATTTCCTATGGTTGGCTCAAGGAGAACTACACAGCGACACCAAATCATAGCAGCAGAAATGAGAAACGCTTATTTACTAATATTTTATTTAAAAAAATGGTTACAAAATATGTTAGAAAGTTCTTAAGACCAAAAAAGCATAGTACATTAAAAAAAGACCACAGGTTTAAAATGGAAAAATATTTAGGCATTTCCAAATTATTTAAATGGAAATTCAAGGCAACACTGGCAACAAGACTGTATAAAATTTTTATTTTATATATATAAAACCACTGCATTATTATCCTGATTTAATAATCATTAAAAATCACTTAAATTCTCAAAGGTATTAAAAGTGATATAGTTCTGAACAGCATAGTTTACTATCTAGAGAACTGCTTATGTTTACAGCAATAGACTAAAACAAAGATGAATTTCCATCTTAAAGGCACTACCAGCATCTTGATTTGTTACAATTTTATATATAACTTTTCAAACATTTCACCAAGTGTGTATTTCCCTTCAGTGTAGAAAGCTTGGTATTTTTATTGCACAAATTTGAACAAGGATCACCGTGACAGCCATTATGCAAAAACATCTTGTGCAGAGCTCAGAATTGTGTGAGATAGCTCACTGCTTTTTCAAGTTGGAGGATGCAAACGTAGAACTCAACTGTAACAGACCACAAGCCTTCCCCACTATTTTTAAGCACAGAGTGCAAGCAAGAAGGCACAATTTCTTCACATATTTAGAACACAAAGGGCACTGGTAGCATTGTGATTTTAATGTGGGCTAAACACCAAACACAAAAATGAACATTCACAATCTACACAACACACGTGCAGATTTTCAGAGGAGAAACTCACAGTCCAGCCACTTAACAACAAGTCCTCACATGTCCTGGAGAATCCTCTGCACTGATTCTCAAGGCGCTGTAAACAAAGCCTGAAAGTGGGTGCAGAGCCTTTAAATATTTTTGGATGGGCTCAACTGGAAAAGACGAAAGCTTTTAATGTGTCTGAGCAGGCTCGCAACACCACTGCCAAGCACCATGGTGAAGAAGGGAGAAGACAATCCCCAGGTAGATGTACTGGGCCAGTTGCTTCTTTTCACAGGTTTTACTGCCAGTTAAGATTGTACAGAGATGGTTACTTTGCAAACAGAAGAAGAAATTTAAGGCAGTTGCTTGTAACAGCACTTCTGCCAGAGCTCTAACCACTCTCCTGAACAATCCCTAAACCACTTGAGTCAAAATCAGCCACCTTAATTTAAGCAATTTAAATAGCTGGTTTAAATAAAGTAGGCTGATTTCATCAGAAGCAGGCTGGGAAACAAGCAGTCTGCTTTGCTGACAGAGCACGGGAGGGGTAAGAGACATCCAGCCACACATGCAGAGCTCCTGCAAAACCAGATGTTTAATCCAGCTCCAATGCCATTCTCTGGGATCAATCTAATTAAAAGACAGACACTCAAAGCCTGGATCTGACACCAGAAGCATCAAAGGGGGCACATTAAGACTGCAGGAGACCAGTCTGCTCAGCCACTGCAGCAAGGAAGTCTGTCCCCTATCTAGCCTGTGAGGGCAGAAGAGCCAGGAGGGACACACACACACCTGCCCCTTTACCTTAGGAAGCTGATACAGCAGTTAAGGAAATGACCCCACAGAAGCGGAGAACAGCACACACACTAGCAAACCTGCTTCTCAACTATTTTAAAACATAGGAAAAAGAACACCTCATACTTAATAAGCCTAGGATTAATAGTACCACCATGCAGAAACTGCTTTGCTAGCCAACAACTGGTTTGGAAGCAACTATTTAGCAATTGTCTTGAACCTATAACCAATATGTGACTTGCTTGTAGTATTAAACTACTATGTGACAGATTAATGCCAGCTAAACAGCATCTGGAGTGGAGCAATATGTATTGTTGTAAAGAACAGCAGGACTCTTCCTATTAGTAAGCTCCTGTGATATACAGGAAAACAACTAACCAGTTTCCCAAAGACTACTGTTCGTTGTTTTCATTAGCTGCTGGCAACACTTGCATCCCTTTTAGTCAGAGATGGAATCTGATCCTCCAATCTATGCATGGATCGTTCAGTTGGTGAAAGAATGGGTATAAACTACCTACTTGGAACAGCTAAAATGAAAATGAAAAACATGCCAAAACACCCTCACTCTAACAACCCAAAAACATGCCAGGGATGCCAGCATGTATGTAGTAAGAGAATCCATCAAACTGCTCTGCAAAGGTTGGCAGTATGCTTCAAAAGGCCTAATAGTCAGATCATGGGAGTCAGGAGATCTCAGTCAAAGTCACTTCTTCTAACACCAACTCCTTGTGGCACTTTTTCATAAAGGTAACTTGCTCTGTATTTCAGTTTCTCTCTGAAGTGTCAACAGTAGGTACCATAGATAGGGAGGCTGAGGCAGAGAGATGACTTTACAGATCCCTGTCAGTACCACTATTTCCAATTCAGGAATGGACACCAATAACAAAGCACTTAAGGGGAGAAAAGTCTATAGAAAAAGCAACCAAAACCCAGAACTCTATTCACATATTTTCAAGCTGAGAAAAATTACAAGAAAAATTACCTTACAATAAAAGTCTTGTCATGGTGCTGCATTGCTTAATAAATACCAGCAGCAGAGTGTTACTCTTACACTATATTTACTGCTTTTAATTATAGATCAAGGTTTAGAGACTATAGACGTTTTGATGTGAAAACAAATTCAGTAGAATCCTGGGCAATAAAAAAAAAAAAAAAGAAAAAACCTCTTAGAATATTAATCATAGATATGGACATGATCCCCAAAGTAAAACATTGCAAATCATAGCAGAAATATTTTTCGTTATGGCAAGCTTCACATCACCAGTAACACTGCTTGTAAATGAAACATCTCTAATCTACCCAGTTTTCGGAGACAGCTACAGCAAGCTTGGTACACCCAGACTGAGATCAGGTTTTAGTGCAAATGGACACTAATAAATACAAGGGAAAAAAAAAAAAAAGCCAGTCCAAAAACCATTTCTTCTTTGCAAAGCAGGAAATGCTATGAAGCAAAGTATGTCTTTTATGCATGGCTCTGAAACCAAGCTACAGCTTAAACTTGATGCTTCACACCACCTGTCAAAATTTTACATCCTCCAAGCAAAGTGTAGTGTTAGGCTTAAGTCTCAGAGCTTAGAGAGAGTACATCACAAACTCACATTCATCAGAAAGTGGCAGCACTGGGAAAAAACTCTGACCTTCTTTTACAGTTCTTTGTCCTACAACAGCTTCCTCATCCTTTTCCAAATACAGCTTTCTCAGCCAATTTCTGGAGGGCTTAGTCTCAGCGCTGTCACAACAGGTTACAGGACTATAAATTTGTCAGACTAGGGTATTGATGAAATGGGAGTTAATGCCTGGAAGACACGGCAAATGTCATGAGCACTCAAACAAGAATTGTTTTTGCATAATCAGCTTTTTCTCATTTGCTTTGGTATTTTGGACATCTCCTGGCTTACAGCAATTTGCTTTACTTTTGAAGGCTCTCCTCTTCAGTGAGGTCTAGCAGTCTTGCTTCTACCTCAGACATTTGAAAAATGCCTTTTCACCACTCCATTTCTTTTACAGCCATCGACATCTGGTCCGATATGTCCGTCACTTGTCTGCTATGTGTTGCATCAGTAGTGTTTCTTACAGTCATACAGCCTGTCGCTTTTAAGACACATCAAGGGTACAAGTGCTAATTTACCCATTTACCAGCTGCCTTAGTAGCAAGAAGTCTCAAGCTAGTGCCCTATTTATAAACAAAGAAAATGGTGGGGTCCATAACCATTCTGGCAATACTTACCATTAACTATGCATAAACAAGCTGCATATGGTATTAACCCTGCAAGTAATATTCACCAGGATAGTATTAACCCTGCAAGTAATATTCACCAGGATAGTACCAACGCGCTGTAACATTTTTCCCATTGATGTTCAGATCGCCACTTTTTGGGTTACTTTGTGAAAATATTTGTTCTTCATCTTTTTCCTCTCACAGCTGGCTTTTCAAGTTTCTTCCTGCAACTTCTATAGCTTTCAAAACAATCTGAAAGAAGATTCTGGAGCACAAGTGCAAACTTTGATGATCATGGGGTGCAAACTGTCTCCTTAATATACCATTACATTAGCCCCCCCCTAAAAACCCTACACTCGCTATTCCATTAAACTGATCTCCACAGACAGAACTGAGACATATGAATAGTAAAACCAAAACAAAGCCCCTTATGTAAGGATAAGCATTTCTGTTAGGCTCCAATTAGGTATCCCTTTTACATTCACAGTTTGACCAATAAGTACAAGAAGGAATTCTGCTGTACTAATCTATAACTCATAACAGAATGATCTGGTCCATTTATACAGAAAGTATCTTTAGGTTATAGCTCAGAATTTATACATCACACATTAATCTTTATTAGTCACCTCTGTCAAAATCAAATCAGCACTCTGTTGTCCTTAAGTTATTCTACTTAGACAAAAGTCTTTTTAGTGTGTGTCACCTGGAGAGGTAGCAGGACCAGTTATTAAGCAGAACCAGTTACCTTAGAAAATTATGCTCAAGATGCCATTACTTGACCTAAGGACCTATAAAAATTTGTGATGAGCAATGTGTACAAAATTGGTTAGAAGGGAGACAGAAGATGTTACCTACAGCGCACTGAAGGTTCATTTTAGTTTGCTCCATTCAAAAAGAATGACATAATTCCAGAAAGTTAGCTTTGTTTATTCAGTGGCTGATTTTCTGTGTAACTCTGACCATTGCCAGGATTTTCAGAGGATCCGTTGACATTTTGTTTCTGACTGTGAAACCACTCTATAATAATTTCAGCTGAAAATGCACCACTTGCAAGAAATCCAAACACCTGTGAAAGTGAAAGGAATATATAATTTTTAAATGTACAAACATTGTCTGGAGAGATTTGCTGGACAATTTACATACATTAATAACGCTTATATATAAAGTTTCCAGTCCTCCTTAAATCGGTAGTTCAATTTAAATTACAAACAGATCAGAAATCATAATTCTAGCACATGTAATGCAAAAGTTTTTACAGTTCTCATTCTCTTAATCAAGTGTGAACCATACAATATGTTCTAAAGAACCATTAATAGTAAAAGTATATTCATTTTATTGCAAAACTTAGTTATTAAAGAAGCATGGCATTGGTGGTATAGCAGAATATTTATCCGAGAGATGGCTGCTGATTAAAGGGACTAAGTGAATAACAGTAACATGTGGAAGGTGAAGGGAGATAAGATCCACAGAGCCTAAGCAAGTTCTTACTGGGTCAGCAAGGGGGGATGAAATGACATTTCGTTAATGACATTTCATTATTAGTCATAGCAAGATAGTGTAAGGAGAAGGTTGTTTTTAGCAGCTTCTATCAAACAAGGATACACACACGTGCCTTATTCTAACTTTTATGTAAATTTCACACAACTGGTTTGGGCCAAAGCAATTTGACACTAGTAAGTCTTAAATCACAATAGTTGGGGTTTTTTTCTAACTCCAGAAAAAAAAACTTGAAAGACTTTATACTCAAACCATTATGTTTGAATATATCAACATCACAGAAGATGACTATACAAAAGTGTGTTTCTCTAATAGCTTGTGCTGCCTGTGGAACAGAATTATTTTGCTTTCTTTCCTAACTCATTTTTTCTCATCCAAGAATAAAATAAAAATTTTATCTTTTAAACTCACATATTCACAATTCCAAGGTTATTCAAAAGAAGTGCCAAATGAGTGAGGAATTATGAGATCCACAGCATCCCAAAGCCTCTTCAGTGTCCCCTGGGAGATGCATGCCCTGTTGCACTTCTATTTCTGTCACTGAGGAAACTGCTGCTCTTACTGCAGCCTTTGCAAGTCAGCATTCCTCACATATGCTTTATAATGCCTGGTAAAAGGCATGGTTTCTTGCTGACTTTGTGAGGAGGTAGCATTATGAAAGGACAATTGAGGAAAAAAGTAGGCATTTCAGATATCAGAGAACTGGGGAAGCTGTGAGAGATGGAAGCATCAAAACAGTGACAGACAGGGAATAACACAGAGCCAAGGCAGTGAAGTCTGAGGAACCCAGAAGCAAGCCACCAAACACTGGGGAGCTGCAAGTGCATGCAGAGCTTTCCAGCAATCCTGAGGAATGCCTGCTCTTTGGATTTCCTGCGGTTAAGTTTCTGGAAGGTCTTAAAAATAGCTAATTCCTCCTGAAACATCACAATGCACTGAATTCTGTTCCCTACCCAGTTTCTTCCCTGCAAATTCAGTGAGGTTTAGAGGGCAGAGAAATTCACATACAAGATAAACACAAAGTAAATGATGCAATTTTAAGACTTACGCATGCAGCATTTTCAACAGCAGACCCAGAGCTGGTCGCAGCAAGCACTATTGATGCTAACAGAAAACAGACAGCTATGGCTCGCATGGTCCATAAATTCTGCAAATATAAAAAAATGAATGTTATAGAATTGTAGATATACTACCTGAAAAAGAACACGCATCATAACAGCAGCTGAGTTAATCTGCCAGTGAATTTATACTTGGAAACTTTGATGATAGTCGGAGCTTCAGAAAATATATTGTACAGCTATATTCCGAACAACATTCAACACAATCAACTATTTAAAAGAGTCTGCATGACATACTCCCCTGTTTTTGTTTTCTTTAAGTATTTCATTCATTTCACCTAACTTTTTTCACAATCAAATTCAAGCTCAGGTCAACCACGCTAGCATTATTCCCTATGCAAAACATATGGGAAATCAGAGACGTGTAAGTAAATGTGTTCATTCAAATCTCTTACTACACTCCCCTATCTGTACCTTCATGTAAAAAACCTACTGTTTGCTCTGAAGACAAATAGGAAGGGACACTCATAAGACAGTGTAATATTCTTACTGACTTTACAGAGCAACTTTGTGCCACTGCTGGATCTTCTGAAATATAAAAGCATAAACTGTAATGAGTATGATTATTACCAAAAGGGAGGTAGGCTACACCCAGTAGGAAAATAGATAGGGTAAACAGGCAAGTTACAAGTACCATGCTGGCAGTAAACTGTGTTCCGTATACGTACATATATGCAATGACTACACAGTAGTATTAGTCTGTGTGAAAGACTTTCACACAAGTTCTGAAATCCTGCAGGTAACCAACATGACAATTTTGGAAAAAGTTGTTAATATAAAAGGAACTCTCAAAGTTGACTCATTTTTTAACTATAAGCTACTTTAATCTACCCTTTAAATAAAGGAGATTCATTCTGTGTAGCCTTTTTACTCCACAGTAGTCTTTAAGCACTTACAAGAAATGGTTTGTTTAAAAAAAAAAAAAAAAATCCTTACCACTGTCTGTACTTTATCTTCCCCAAATGTTTCATATACATCAGTGCAATACACACACAGGATCAGAAGGCTCAAAAGAAAGGCACTGCAGCTTGTGAATTCGAAGAAGTAAAGTCCACCACACTTGATACAATCCTCCACAATTTCTTCACAAATAACAGCCAGAAGAGAGAGAATCTGTAAACAAAGAACATGCTTGAGTTGGATCAAGTCTCTTAATATCTTCAGCAAATAGACATCTCTGATATGAACGTTAATAAAGACAGCTGTAAGAAAAATCCTCACTCTACAAAGAACCCGGTAACATTTTGCACTATTTTCTTACAGGCAGAAATAATCACAGTGACGTGGTTTACACTTGCTGTTAAAAGTTGGTCAATAAACTACACTCAGGTAAGCTGAGCACACACCGCCAAATACAGGCTTCTTGATTAGGCAGTCAAGATTCCTGATTTGTGGTTTTGTGCAATTGCCAGTTGGAAGCAGACAGGGCAGACAGCGTGGAGAGCGCACATCCCACTCAGAACGAGCAAAAATACTATTGCTTACTACTTACAACTGCACTTAATTTTAAATGCATTTGGGTTCAGGGCAGAGGGGGGAAATGGATGGCATTGACACAGTCAGCTACCTCCCTGAATGTTTACAGCTGACGTTACCTCCCTTAATAAAACTTCAGAGAAAGTGCATGTAGCTAATAGCTCATGTGCTTATGACCCAGTAACAACAGAAGCTCAGCTGTACTTGTAGGAACCAAAACTTTAAACTACGTTTAACTATGTTGGACAGTGCTTAATCTATGTAGAAGCTTACGTTCACCTTCCTGCCAGATTATATTTTGAGGAAAGAACGTGAGTTAATTCCTGTACAGTCACCATAAACCTGCTGCTGGATTTTCTACTATTTTATTGTACAAGAAAGAATACTGCTTTATTTAAATGTTCTCTCATTTTGGCTACTTCCTGCTAATTTCCTTCACCCCATAAATTTGACACAGCATTACAGATCCTTGTACTAAGGAGTTCACCAAATTAAAACGAAACCATTAGTAGGAATCAGATGCAGTCATAAAATTGAGACTGACAGAAGGATGATGATCATATTTTTAGTAAGAGTATATGGGCAATAATGAGGTTGACAGTTCTTCTTTAAAAAAGTAAAAAATAAAATTCTAAAATTCAGAACTCTTCTTGGAAAACAACCACCAGCCTTTGGTTTCGGTTTTCTGACAGTAAAAATAAGAACAATAATTTAGCACCTGGGAACTGTAAATTCCCCCTGCTAAGCCAGACCTCATAGGGGTACTTCAAAGCATCATGGTTTGAAAACACTGCAGTCATATAAAGTAAACAGGATCTCAGAAAGGGAAAGAACTGGAGCTGGGCAACTGCAATGTTACTATCAGGCCTCCACATACTTCCCTTCTCTTTCGCAGCGGCTGGCAAGGCAAACTTCTCAGCAGCCTTTGCACCTAAAACAGTGACTACAATGGCTGTCCGAAGAATGTTTTGAACTCTGAATTTCCAATTTTTAAGTATTTTTTTGCATTTCAAAAGATTTGCTTACAGCTGCATCCAATGACTCTCAATTTCACATTTTTCACAAGGTCAGCTAAAGTGTGAGATACATTTTCATGCATAGTTCTAGCTTTTTTTATCAGCACTGAAAACTGAATGCCATCACTTTCACCTGGGATGAAACAGAACAGAAAGGAAATAAACCTGTCCTTAAAAGAATTTATAAGCTCAGATAACCATAATATGACCTAAATAACTGAAAAAAACCTCTCTGCTGAGTGTACAAACAAGTAGAACAAAATCCCACTCAAAGAGAGCTTAGCTATAAAGCGTTCAGTGTCAAATAAGTGAGATTTACCAAGCGGAGTCCTATGTGGGACTTGTCCAAGTCAATATTCAATTTTTTATTAATAAGCTGAATAACAAAAGAGAGTACATCATTAAAAAAAGCTTTGGCTTGAAGAACTTTAATCAAAGTAGTGTATCAACAGCACATTTATAAGCTGCCAGAGAGTTCTGCTTGGATTTCTTAACTTACTTCTTGATATCACTCTGAGAAACAAAAGGGATTACTCTGTTGTCCTACTACAAAAAAAAAAGAATACTTTTAAATACCACTAAAAGAGTAGCTCCTAATTTCAGCTTATATAGTTACAGCTATATAACATAGCAAGAAGTTTTTACTAGTATTAGCCAGAAGATTATCGTCTCTATTATTCATCTGCATTTTAGTAACATCCTGCTATTAGATACAGCATAAATATATGAGCCACTTAAAAAAAGCCAGGAGATTCCACATTTCATTCAGTTTCCCAAGAACTGTTCTGCTGGAGATCCAACTTCATCTGTCAGCATTAGTCCTGGGATGAGCGCAGACCTCTACAGGCTTACATGAAGCAGTCAACGCTCCTTCTGTTTTGTTTTTTATATCTGCCTTCTCCACACCAATCCCATGGAGAATCCCTAGCAGCTGATGCCCAGAATATCACTACTGCTTTTGTCTGAGCTGTCAATAACAACTGAAGAGGGGCAGTTCCTCATTTTCTGGACAGCTAAACCTTCTGGGCAGAGCTTCTTTCACCCTGAAGCCCAGGGTAACGCCTGAAGACAAAAGCAGGCAGCCGCCACCTTCCTTCCCTCTTGCCCAGAGCCCTGCACTGTGGATGCAGCACCAGTGTTAGTGGGCAGGCAGAGATTACCCAGCAGGTAGGTCAGGGCACAGTTCGGAGCAAGCAAGGGCTGCAGAGGAGTGCACAGGGACACAGACAGCCTGGCACCAGGCTTGCTGGTTCCTGCAGGAAAATCCACACCTCGCCATATGCATGCACTGCTTGCTGTAAAGGGAAAAGCATCGTTGGAGATACAGTTTTTAACGTCTTTTTAAAAATTATTAGTCCTAACTGTCCATATGTACACCAGAAATTAAACATCTTCATCTGTGCCTTACCAGCAAGAAGTTATTCATTACTACCAACATTACTGTTAGAAGTTTCTACACAAGTGTCAAGTTTCTAAAGTAGATTTAATAACTGAAAGGCTACAAAAGAATGCTACGAAAAAAAAGCAGATCAATGAACTTTCCAACAGGCCTGTGAAAATGCTCAGCAGTTTCTAGTACAAAATCTTCTAATTGAGATGGGTGCACATATTAATTCTGTAGGTCTCCTCAATCAGGGCTAATATAGGAAGTGAACAGCTCAGAAAAAGAGCAGATGTTTAAGACTGAATAACCAAAATGCCCTAACTGGAAAGGAAAATTGTAAGAGTGAAACAATAGTTGATGACAGGTATTTCTGTTTTAGATAAGAATTCATTTCTATCTCAGTCTTGGCACAATATGCGCTGTGCCATTTACCTGTGTGCAGAATCTGAACCAGTCATAGACTAAAAAAACCATTCCACCTATATATAAAAAAACCCCAACAAACAGTCTAGAAACCCACGCAATAAGCATGCCTCCCAGCATCCTTTTGGCAGTTACATTTTCCTTATTTCATTTGCCCAAAAAGCTTTAAAAAACAGACTAAGATTACAATGTATGGCATTATTAATCGGAAGAAAAGCATTTCTAAGGTCTAGAAACCAGTTTTCTGCAGGTCAGTTCACAGTATTTTGTGAAACACTTGATCACTTCTATAATGAAGACAGCTGATTTTCTGAGTGCAAGACCCTGTTTAGCAGTCCACACCAGTGCTTATCAGTGCATAATTCCAATAACAACCACTACTGTAACACAAGGCTGATAGATGATAATGACCATCACCATCACTGGCACTTCCAAAAATCAACACTTTCCCAAAACAGGAACATTTTTCTTCCTGCAGATACTGAGGCTTCCACCTTGAGGAACTTCTGGGGCTCGTTCAAAGTGTTTTGACAAAGAACTCCAAGATCTGTGCATTTTGATAAAGGGATGCAAAAGGGGAAGGAAAAAATGTTGGAAATTAGGAAGGTGAATGACGGTAACTCCATTTTCTTCTTCCTCTCATTGAAGGACAGGTACAGACCATAAACTGCTAATTCTTTAGAAGCATATCAAGCAGCTACCCATCCTGTTTAGGATAATCATAATTTTCCTTTTTCCTACCTAGAAAGCTTTTTAAATAATGCCTCTGTTCAGGTAAACAGTTTAAGACTTTGGTACACCAGTAAATTTGCCTATGTAATGGTTTATTTTAGTTGGTGAACCTACTTCTATAAATGATCTGCTTGTCTGGGAGCAACAGCCAGCAGATCCTACTTTATTAATTTCCAGTAGATGAAGTAAAAGTTTATGTCCTACTATACTTATTTATTTAAAGCCTTCTTGGGTGTGATTTATTTTTAAACACTCTTAGAAAACATTGTTTTTGGCAGCGCTACTGTTACCTTTACCACCACTCAAGAATCTTAGAATGTTTCTGGTTGAGGGTTTTTACTGTGTGCGAAACAAAGGTTAAAAAACAAACGTTGTCTTTTCTGCAATGATGAAATAATGAGAAAGGGTTGGAAATCACCTACAATTCCCATGAGCATGAGACATCTGACTAAAAAGCCACTTTGTTGGCTGGAAAACATACCCTGACACACATTTACAGTCAGCTGCCCTTTCCCACTGTCAGTTTCACTACCTCTCTGCCAGTACTTAAGAATGATGCTCCTCCCATCCTTATCACACTGGCACATTTTGGAAGAGCCCATCACGGAGCGTAGACCAAATGGGAGTCTGAATCACACACTCAACTGCTGAATGTGTTCGGGAATAACGTTACACGTAGCAAAACGCAAGCAGAATATAAGCCTTCTATTTCCTGGTGGGCACAGGACTGCCCAACACGAAGTGATGCACTGCGATGTCTCATGCTAATAGGCCACCATCAACACTGCACATTTCTAGTGCAATTTTCTACCATGAATCACAGAAGAAATGAGCGCTCCGACTTTAGCACAGGCAGTGCAGCCTCATAAACTTACAAAGGGGCTGCAGGGGCGGCAGAAGAGGGAGGTCGGATCTGATGACCCAGCAAGCCCTTCCCAGTTCTACTGCCCTACCTTGAGGTTCAACCAAAGGCTTCTACCTCCTGTTCTCATCCAATGTGGCCCTCAGAAGAAAATACTAAGTTTCCTGTGAGGCTTCGCTCTGATTTTTAACCTTAATGACAGCAGGCAGGTGAACCACACAGGCTGCAGCACCAAACCTCGGTCGCATGACACACGCAACCATCAGATGTCAGCACCTGCTCCCGGAGCTGGAACACGAAAAAGGAACACGGCTGTTACTTCCCCACCATAAAATAATCTGAACCTGTACAGACGATGGTATTGTAAGACACCATGCCAGCTTTCCAGCTGCGTTACAAGTCTGCGCAGCTTTAGCGACGAAGAGCAGAGGCCGGCTCTGCCTGTGGTACCTCTGAAGTCAGGCTTTCGGGTGGAGCGAGCCCCTTCCCGACCGACAGAAACGACTCCCCTGAAGCCTGCGTACGGCCGTCGCCCCCAGCCCGCGCTTTGCCACTGAAGAGTTGAGTTTTTTTTAAGAGGCGGGTTTTTAGGATTGCCCCAAAGCCGGAGGTCATGATAACACGGGCATTTCTGTACCGAAGGTGCGCTTTCGGCAAGCGGGGACATCTGTAAAGGACGCGGGCGACAGCCGGCGGCGCGGCAGCAGCTGCTCGCCC